TTGTTAGATGGAATTTCGTTGTCAGAGATGTTACACGTTGTGAGAGATGTTACACGTTGTGATTTAACTCGATTAAAACAGCTTTGTTAGCTGGAATTTCGTTGTGAGAGATGTTACTTAAACGACCAGAAGTGGTATGGAGTAAAAATAAAATAACGGGATCCGAACCTGTGTGAGTTTTAGTTTTTATTTTAATATTTTGTTAAGCATCTATAGCACTTCTCGTGTTCCTCTATACAATCCTCTTTCTTGTAAGGTCTGATTTACCTGTTCAGTTGTGATCAGATTGTGATCAATTTTCCAAGTTTTTTACGTTTCACTACACAGCTAGAATTGTCGCAACCGAACTTGTAGAATTTCACATACAATGTTGACACGAGAATTTATCGTAATAAATAGTATAACATACAGAGATGTATACCCCTTGGATAAGAGATTATACTGATTTACACAAGCATAAGTTTCGTTCGTGTATTTAAATTAAGGTTACTTTGTGATTTTTAAACTTTTTTTTAATATTGAAAACAAATATATAATTGCCTTTTGTATTTTGATATTGTGTTTATCTTTTTCTGTTATTCTTTTAAAATTACCTACATCAGTAAGTTATTGTAAAAGTCTTATTCAAGGATAATTTATCATTGTGTGTTACTCATGCATTTTATCTAATTGCTTTTAGGCCCAGCAGGGGGCATAGTTGCAGCGATGGCGCTCCGACCTTTCCTTGGGGAGCTGGGAATGGTAACCCCATCGTTTATCTTTGCAACCCCACAAGTCGCAGATGCATTTAGTGAAGATGGAAAGCCTCTCACGGATCGAGCTAAAACAGGAGGACCGAATCTGCTGAAAGAACTGGAATGGTACACGGCTGCTCTGAAGAGACAGAGGGAAGAAATAGGAATACCGAAATAGAACCACAGATTTCACAAACTATTCTATTTTAGAAACATAGTATACTTTCTGTAATGTATTGTCAAGTAGTGGGATATTGTGATAATATAAAGTAAGATTGTTGATAAATTTATATAACTGTTGTTTTTTTTTTACAAGACTCTTGAAAAGATGGCCTACAAAAGTCTTTCATTCTGCAAGCAGAAAGTTTATGTAGAATTCCATGCTTGCGATTATACTATAAAACTTGCATGACTTATCCAATGAAATCTTCATAATTTTACTCTATCCAAACCTTAGTTTTGCCAGATCGTTAAGAACTTAATCATTACGTGTCTTTGTAATGGGTCCTATAATAAATGCGATTGAAACTGTAGTTCGTTGTATGATGTCTAGTTTCGGTTTTCTTTATTTGATGCTCTACCATTAGTTTGTATAGATCTTGTATTTATAGTATTATGTACTTGTACAAGGTGACTTGTGGCTACACGAGGAGCACAGTGTTTTGAGGTTATATGTATATCAATCAGTATAGTTGTTAAAGCCACGTGCACGAGCTTACTGAAGTAAGTAAACAATTAAGAGAGATCTCAAAATATTTCCACAATGCCCCAATTGAACAATACTGCGCACTTTAGTACAACAGTTGGAAAATAGTGAAATAAATTGTACATAGTTTTGGTTGTTACTTTCAAAGAATCATCCTCTGGTGGATCAACGGTAAGTTTACAGGCTTATAAAGCTAAAATCTGGGGTTCAAGTCCCCGTGTTGAACAGATTGCAGACAGCTCATTGTATAGTTCTGCACTAAGAAAAGAACAATAACATTCACGAGGCACAGCCTTGTCAACCAAGCAGCTTCTAAAAGATAGGCATTAAGAGCTGTGGTATATTCTGGTACAGATTTCTCACAAAGTTGTGTGTCTTTGATCTTTGACTGAGTTCGTCAACAAAGAAAGAAGAAATCCTCAGAACGTACAAGACAACAATCTGTATTAACAAAAACAATCAAAACACAATCGCAAAAGAAAGGTGTTTGTTGTGTGTTGAATTGGTTAGAGAAGAGTGTAGAAAATGTTAGTAGATCGCTCTTGCCAGACCAGTGTAAATTAAGGTTTAAACAAAGAAACAAAAGAATGCTATGTTAAGAACTCAAGTTAAACCTTACAAGATTTTAATCTGTCCGAATATATGGCTTAACAAAGCAGAACTTGGTTTTAAGTACTAAAACAACAATTAATCCGATTTGATCACGAAACTGTGATTCAAGTGTAAGGGTCATCACCTGACTTGCCAATAGAAAAGACAACCATCTATCTCAAAACGTCATAGGAGAAGTAACATCAATTTTCTATGCAAGAGAACACGCCTATTGACCACTATCGTATCGAAGTTTCATGTGTACCGGAGTAAGGAAAGTTCAGTTGTTTGCTTGAGCGACCCTTTGAGTCCAAACTGAACTGAAAGAAAAACCGAAAATTCGAAGAATGTACAACCTAACTAAGGAATAACTAAAACCTGATACCATCCTGTATTACAAAACCTAAGATATCATGGAATATTACTTCTGTTGTTTCTTCTTGAATGTTGCACTATTTTGATGCGCTCATGAATACATTCAAAACATACAAATTCTGTCACTATATTACTGAAAAGTAAAATTAATTAATACATTATTGGACTGGGCATGGCATATTGGTAAGCATGTCAGCTGTGTATCGAAGGATCTATAGGTCGAGACATGACGCCACCAAACACGCTCCACACTTTCAGTTGAAGGCCTTCTATAATAGTGACAGTCAATCCTATGAAGGATCCAGGGTTCGAGACATGACGCCACCAAACACGCTTCACACTTTCAGCTGAAGGCCTTCTATAATAGTGACAGTCAATCCTATGAAGGATCCAGGGTTCGAGACATGACGCCACCAAACACGCTTCACACTTTCAGCTGAAGGCCTTCTATAATAGTGACAGTCAACCCTGTTATTCAGTTCAACGAGTTGATCGAATCTTTTATACCAGCGGTAATTCAAAATCAGGGATGGCCACATTTGAACCGTAGGGGGTCTCTCTTAACTCGGCAGTTCCGGATCACAATTTCTATTCCCTGCCGTATAAATCCTTTGTAGATGCCTAAGTTACATAAGAGAGTTTTTGTCTCCTTTGTTATATAATATTCAACAGCAGCATAGTATCACGAGTAGTCTTAGTTTAATGGAAGGAAGTTCATTTGTTCTAACATTACAATTTTTAGGATAGTTCTGGGAAGAATCATGCTAAGTATTTCTCATTTGGACCATTTTCCATAAATAATGATTAACATTTACACAAGTGACACTGCCTTATGTTTCAAATCTGTCAATCAAATGAAGATGAACCAAAGAACCAGGTCTTCAGAGTTGGGCCGACTGCATGAGTTCGAATTCTAATGTGATGATTTTCCTGTTGTAACTGATGACTTATTTGTAATAAAATAATTTTAAAATGCAAGTAAGCAAGTTGCGTGACAGTTATAGCCGATATCAATTCGTGATAGAATGTAAAGTATCGGAACTAAATTTGCCATTGTTTGGCGTTTCGTAGATAGTTGTCCCGAGGAGGACACAGTAGATAGCCCATTGTGGCTCTAAAAAAACATTCACATACACATTCGTAAGTAGTTTGATACCACCAAAAATTTATTGTTTTGGGGAAGGGTCTGTAGCAGCCATTTATGATTCAAATTATTCTTATATTCGGATCATAAACACACTTTCAGATCGGAGATTCAAGAGTGGAATATCCATTGTTCTTAATGGCATTGTCAAACAAATAATATGAATCAACTTGGTGTGACCAGGACTGTTCAGAAAGAGACCCGCAACAAGTCATACTAAAGCCGTAGTAGTCAAAGTGTAATGTTGTGTAACAGCTGAGAATCTACGAACACAGAGGCCATTTGCAAAAACTGTTCACATGATATAGTTAATATGAATCTCCATTTTGAGACGAGACCAACAAGACACATATTTATGGAAATGAGGCTTCCAATCATACACCCCCCCCCCCATTCAAGCAGGTGAAGAAAGAAACGGGTTTTCATGTGATTACGTTTGATTTACTTAATCTTGTTCACACCATGATAGTTCACGAAATAGCGCCTCAACCATTACTATATCTGTCCTATCCCTGCCGGCCTGATTAGATCTGGTATTGAGAAAAAGGCTCCGTCGGCACTGGCCATGGCAAATATATTGCGGTTTAAATACTATTATATATTTTTCTTTGCTTTTACTCATAAGTCTTAGAATTCCATATGAAGATATACTGGTCGAGTAGCTAGATGCAGTGCTTCTGGATCTCTGTGCAATCGAACTGTTGAAAAGGGTGCTGGGAAACTATAACGTGGTTTATGATGAGGATCCAGAATCTTTTTAATATAACATGATCAACCCTCTGTAACGTATCAAATAATATCGTTTTGATATAACATGATCAACCATCTGTAACGTATCAAATAATATCGTTTTAATATAACATGATCAACCATCTGTAACGTATCAAATAATATCGTTTTAATATAACATGATCAACCCTCTGTAACGTATCAAATAATATCGTTTTAATATAACATGATCAACCATCTGTAACGTATCAAGTAATATCGTTTTAATATAACATGATCAACCATCTGTAACGTATCAAATAATATCGTTTTAATATAACATGATCAACCCTCTGTAACGTATCAAATAATATCGTTTTAATATAACATGATCAACCATCTGTAACGTATCAAATAATACGTTGATCAACTCGGTACTCCGGATATTATTTTACTTGACTATTACAGATAAGCGGCTCAGCGGTATGTCTGAATATTTACAACTGTAAAAAAACCCAAAAAAACAGCCAATTTTATAGCTTTGCTCTTAACCAGAAATAAACAAAAACTTCAGATTGATGGAGATATATCTGAAATATATTAGGCGTTCCATTATACAACTAAGAAAATCATTGTTCATGCTATAAATGTTTGTTTTGTATTGCTCGCATATTATAATCCCCGACTTCTAACTCTTATGAGCTTCAGAAAATACCACCAACGTGACGAACAAAAACTTGTTAGGGTGCTCAGAATAGGCCTAGCTCGTGTAACCTTTCGGTTTGTACGGGAGAGATTAAGAACATTTATTATTGTTTCGTTGGACAATGCTCAAAAGCTTTTATTATTAAAGTCCAACAGCGTGGAATCAGGACAAGAAGTGATAGAATAAAGAGAAAGAGTCTTCATAACTCGCGTACAACATGTAGTGTATTTAAAATGTAGGAGTATTTTATAAAAGATGTTATTTGCAATTAATGCATGTGCTTTTTTTTTCTTTTTGAATATTATCAGCCCTTGAAGTCACGTGACATACGTTCATTGTGTACATGAATTTCCTGAAATTGGCATAATATACGACGTACAATGGAAATACGGATACTAGATCGCAATTTTATATCACAAAAAATACATAAAAATACAACATACCCGTATATATTTAGGTGTATATGATAAAACACATTTGACGTATGTATATCTATTTTTTATTGACATACATTTCACTAGGAAGGCCTTAAGCGTCTGTTCCGAGCACGCACGAACTGGAACGAATAGAATACGAAGAATACGTTTTCTGTTTGTTTTTCTGGATACTTTATACTAACAAAACTGTGTAGGAGAACTGGTAAAGATAGGGTAAAGTGGACAAAGCATATAATTATCTTAAACACGAGTAGTTTACAGATGTGACTCATATAAGTCTAGCATCCTGTTACAGAGTACAACGAGTTAGTTCTCAGTGAATAGTGTTTTTCTTCCTCTGTTGTGTTTATGCAATTGTGAGACTGCTTTTCACAAAGTTTTATTTGAATTTCATTGTTTTTGCTACAATAGTTTGTCACATATAACTCCCTCGGGAACACTAAAAATTTATGTCAGTTTCTGGGCAGTTACAATCGGACATAGACTTTTGTCACACAATGGGTTAGATAAGGGAGGGTTGGCGATCGGAACTCACCCCCACAAGGTGAAAAGTGACAAATGTTTCTCCTAAAACCATGTTATCCGACGTTGTAAATCATCTCGACGATGTTCGTAAAAATAAGAAATTTCGAGAAACTGAATAGCTGTAGAGTTTCGGTTCATTATATTTTGCCGAAGACGACGTTTACGTCATTGAAAGCATGTAAAGCTTTGCCGAATCATGTATTGATGTGGATTTTTGTTGATTGATAGGAGGTAACATTTGAAGTCCAATATGGCGGCGTCGAATAAACAGTTTGTGACGTCATTCCAAAAACCTCTTTACATGTAAAAGTCAAAAGTTCGAAAATATACACAAAATTCGT